AGTTTCTCCACATCCTTTTTGAATTGTGGTGCCCAGAACTGGACACACAGAGTTATTAGTGAGGAAATGCTAGACAACTTCATAGTTATCCTTTGCTTGTTTGCTTCTTCACAGGGCTATGGTGTTTCCCAGTTTTTCTCAGAGGTGTTCGTGCAACTATGCTGTAATGTGCCTGTGCTAGTCTACAGTGAGATACTTTAGTGCTCATTTATATTTATTTATATATTCCCCGAGTCTCTGAAGCAGCTCTCCATTTTGGGGTGGGGAAAGGGAAGGATGAGTGTGACTCAATACAAAAGTAAACTCCATTGTGTTTACTTGTAAGGCAGGGTTGACTGATCTCTAGGTGGCTCATTACATTTACCAATGGAGGTACCTGGAATAATCTGTTTTTATGACTAGACCTGGTTAGAATAATATTTGGATAAAAGCAGTATGTTGCAAAATGTATATTAGTACCCATGGACATAAAGTACAACTCTCCTTTACGTAATTTATTGTCCCATCTACAGGAATAAAATCCTTTAGATTATTAATTTCTAAAGGCTTAGGCATGTTGCTGTGTTGCAGCTAAAACAAAAGGTACTGTGGTACCTCTCAGACTAGCAGATTTATTGTAGCATAAACTTATTTTTAATTACAATTTGAATTTTAAATTTATATTTAATTACAATTTGAATTTTAAATAAATACTTTTAAAATTACATCAATTATAAATAAATCATATACATTAAACAATCATATGTAATCACTAAATAAATACATGTAATTATATGATAATACTCTAGCATGTCTAGAAAGCAACCCAGTTGGAGTGAGGCTACTCTAACCAAAGAAAAGAGGTAGATTCTTTTCAGCTTCATTGGGCAGAGTGAGGAGACTGTCTCAAGCAGCAGATTTAGGGAACCAAGAAAGAGAAACAAATTGTTTTTTATTCCCTGTGCTCATGCCAAATATGGACAAAGTTGTGTGTGTATGTGTGGGTTCTTATATGCCAAAATAACTTGGCTGGTTGTGGGTACTATGCACTTTGATTTGGGCTAGGAAAATGTTTGGGGATGGCTTTTCTGAGATGGTAGAAAATATATCCAGAGGTAGCTGTGTTGGCCATACTGCAAAGTACAATAACATCCAAAATACACAAAACAGTGGCCTCATTCCCACTACAAAATAAATCATTTTTGAGTTGAATCTATAATAAATTATTATTATTATTATTATTATTATTATTATTATTATTATTATTATTATTTATATCCCGCCCCTCTGCAGAGCAATCGCTATGAAGCGATTTAGCGCCGAATAGACATTCACACTGTTTGAGCCATGATCGAACCTACCCCTTTTAATTTAATCCACTTCATGTTCACATTTAGCAATGGATCAATTCAACATGGAGTCGCCTCACAGGGGTGACCACGCCACAGGAATCAAATCAAATAGACAGTCCATTCATACTTGCATTGAATCGATTCATTTCAAAAGAAGTGGGGAATGCTGTGAATCCAGAAGAATTTTCCCATGAATAAAAAGCTGCATGATTTTGCCTCTTTATTCACAGGATAATGTCCTGATAATGGTGACGTCAGGGAACATCATCTGAAAGTCATCTTGCTCATGCAGGATATTGACAGGATTAAATGCTGCTTTATTCATGGGAGGAGGACACTTCCCTCCTGTGTCATAAAGTCCACAGAATATTAGAGCTGGAAGGGGCTCCCTCCACATTTGTGGCTTTGACATTTGTGGATTTGATATCTGAGGTTTTGATTAATTACTGTGTCCAGTTCTGGGCACCACAATTCAAAAAGGATGTTGAAAAACGAGTGTGTCCAGAGGAGGGCGACAAATATAGTGAAGGGTCTGGAGACCATGTCCTATGAGCAGGGGTTGGCAACCTACGGCCCGTGGGCCGCACCCGGCCGCGGACCCCCGCCGCCATTTTGTTTGCCAAAATGGCGGGCACGACTCGTTTGCACATGTGCAGTTCTCCTGTGCATGCGCAAACAAGCCGCGACCGCATTTTGGTAAACAAAATGGCGGCCGCGGCAGTGCGGCAGCGGTGCATCCAAAATGGTGCGCCGGAGGAGCCCCGCGGCAGCGCTGGACCTCTCAGAGGCCTGGCGCCACCGAGGGAAGCCTCCTGCGGGGCCCCCGCGGTGGCGCTGGGCCTCTCGGAGGCCCATCGCCGCCAAGGGAAGCCTCCTGGGGGGCACCCACGGTGGCACTGGCCCTCTTGGAAGCCCATCGCCGCCGTGGGAAGCCTCCTGCGGGGCCCCCGCGGCGGCACTGGGCCTCTCGGAGGGAGTCCTCCTGGGGGCCCCCGCCGCCGTGTGCATGCGCGCGGGCGCGGGGTGTGTGGCACCTGCCATTTTGTATTTCAAAATGGCGGGGTGCGCACCCTGCATGCGCGGGGGAAGTTTGCGCGCACATGCAAGCACACACACGCTCTGGCCCCCAGCGCCATTCCCCCCCCGGCCCATCGGCAAAAAAGGTTGCCAACCCCTGCCTATGAGGAACGACTTTGGGAATTGGGATTATTTAGCCTGGAGAAGAGACTGTTAAGAGGTGATATGATAGCCTTGTTTAAATATTTGAAGGGGTGTTAGTTTGTGGATGCAGCAAGCTTGTTTTCTGCTGCTCCAGAGAACAGGACCCGGAAAAATGGATGCAAGCTGCAGGAAAAAGATTCCACCTGAACATTAGGAGAAACCTCCTGACAGCAAGAGCTGTTTGACAGTGGGACACACTCCCTCAGAGTGTAGTGGAGTCTCCTTCTTTGCAGGTCTTTAAGCAGAGGCTGGATGGCCATCTGTCAGGGATGTTTTGATTTTGAGTTTCCAGATTAGATAGTTGGCCTCAGATCGTTTGTATTCCATTAGGATATCAGAAGACATTGGCTCCCTCATTATATATGTAATTGGAATATCTCACGGGATTATTGGAATTTAGTATTGATTTTAATCATGCAGATTTTTAAATTAATAATGGTTTAATACTGTTTTAAGGGGAAGGGGGAATATTTTGTATTTTATATTTTGTATTGTATTTTATGTTGTGAACCGCCCGGATTGGGAAACCAGAGGGCGGTATATAAATAAATTTTATTATTATTATTATTATTATGAGTTCCTGCATGGAAGGGGGTTGGACTAGATGGTCCTTGGGGTCTCTCCCAACTCTATGATTCTACGATTCATTTCTGATTTATGGTGACCCCATGGGATTTTCTTGGCAGAATTTCTTCAAAAGAGGTTTGCCATTGTCTTCTCCTGAGGCTGAGAGAGTGTGAATTACCCAAGGTCACCCAGTGGGTTTCATGACCAAGCTGGGAATGGAACCCTGGTCTTTAGAGTGGTAGTGTAATATTCAAACCAATACACCACGCTGGCTCTCATTATTATTATTACTATTGTCTCATTATTATTATTACTATTGACTCTTGGGAGTCAAAGACAATAAAATACAGTCGCCCCTCCATTCTTGCGGACTTGAAGTCCACGGTTTTGCATATTCACGGAGGGGTCAACCTGCGTCTGTGGGGGCGCACCCCATTCAAGCCTTTGGGACTTGAATATTTGTGAATCTCCGTTTTTGCAACGGGAGGCAGAACGGACCCCCCACGAAAGCAGAGGACCGGCTGTATATTTAAAGAGAGTGAGGGAGAGAGGTAGGCTGGGCAGGTATAAACATACTTTGTGAAAAAGAGCTTATTTGTCAGTGGCTTTGTTAATGGAGATGTGCCAATAACAACAACAAGAAGAGCAGCAGCAACAGCAGCAACAATAAATAATACTTTGTCATTCGTTCAGCAGCTGGCATAATAAGCAACAAGGGCTTTTGTGCAGTGGCAATTGAGTGAAAACATATTATTTTGAATAATTTGTTTATGAAAGAATTGGCTGTGTGGGAACCAGTCAGTTGGTTATATAAATGTGATGGGAAGCTAGCCAGCTTGATGTGGGCCTTAGTGGTTAGAAATAAGAGAAAGTAAATCTAGTTGGATATTATTTTAATAATAATAATAATAATACTTTTTATTTGTATCTTCCCGCCTCTCCCTATGGATCGAGGCGGGATTACAGAGAAATATAGAAAAATACAATATATAAAATCATAACAATAATAAAAAACCCACAGTCCATATAATAAAATCCAATACCCAATCATGTGCAATATAATAAAATCCAATACGCAGTCATGTTACAAATCATCTTTTGTAAAAGATACATTCCTTGTGCTATTAAGATATGTCTGAAGAAAATAATTGCTTTAAAATTAATCAGCAAAACTCTACAAGACTTTAACATTAATAAACAAAACTCCATAAGACCCCCAAGCTCCCATTTAGCAGTTTATTTATTTGTTCATTTACTTTATTTATATGCCACCTTTCTCCCAGGCCAGGACCCAAGGGTCTTTGTCTTTCCGTACAATGTTCTTTGTAACAACTGTGTTTCAAATGTTTTACAAAAGAATGAGATTCAGTTACATCAGTTGCAAAGGTCTTAAAGTCTTAAGGGGCTGTCCACATGGGGGCGGGGAAGGCCCATGTTCCCCCTGGGATCACATCATCCTGTTTGGACAATGCAGGCAAATACCCTGGACCCAGGATTGGACCGGATCCTGGCAGACTGGACACAGATTCAATCGATCTGGCCTGATTCTGGGGTAAATCTGGGTCAGTTTGACCCCAGGTTTGCTTTCATGTTTCCTGGAAATTCTACAGCAAACCCTAGCTGTTTAGATGCTCTGTGTGCTCCTTATCTTCCCCCTGAATTTCCACTAGTGAGCAGACCCCCCCATTGCTACACCTAATGAGGATACGGCACTTGGCTGCACACATGTGACCAGGTGCCCCATTTTTGTGCCCAGTGCAGTGACTGGGGTGTGCTCACTAGCAGAGATGTAGGGAGAAGTTAATGAGCATATGCTGGTTGTGGGTCCCCGGGCCAGCACAGGGACAACAGGTGTGTAAACACCCTTCTATCCCTGTACCAGCCTGGGGACCGATGCAGGTTAGCACCCAGGTCAGGAAAGCACAGGCTGAGCCCATGCTTTCCTGGCCTGTCTGCTAAGAGCCTACGGTAATGATTGAATGAATTAATGCAGTCATAATCTACCTTTCTTGTTGCCTGCCCTGGGATAGCATTGTACTCTCATATCTCTATTGTTCACTGCATCAAAGCAAAATATGATTTCATGATGCACTTGCTCACACTCCTTCAGCACATTTTTCTCCTACTATTTCTTCTGTCTCCTTATCATATTCAGTGGAGAGGCCACAATGTAAGAGTGGACTAAGATTTAAATGACACATAAGGTAGACACTTGAAAATTGAAGCCTATGCCAATCAGATGTAGAATGAGATGTAGGGAGGAGTAAATATTGGGAAACCTTATCACAAATATTTTATTCATAATTCTATAAGGAAACTATTCCATAAACCATTTTCTTTAACAGTTTCAAGGGGGAGTTCTTTGGGGAAAAAAGGGGGGACCACCCCTTCCCCTGAATTTACTACTTTGGAGTAAAATTGTGTTCTGTGTGCTCTTGCACAAGTATATGAATGCTACATATCTGAATGTGCTGTTTTTGATTTGTTGATTGCATATTTTATTGCACTGTGATTATCTGACAACAAAATGAAAAACTATATATTTATTAATAACAAACAATGCTGCTTGTTGAGATGAATTGTTTGTTTTCTGTTATCATAGTACAATAGAGTCTGGATCCCTGATAGTGAAGAAGTTTGGCAGTCAGCTGAAATTATAGCAGACTATAAAGCTGGAGACCACATACTTCATCTACAACTAGAAGATGGCAAGGTAAGGAAAGGGCGGCATTTATTAAAAATACACTTGTACATACTTTGATATATTTGTACACACAGTAAATTAACTTATCTTCCTCCATAGGCTGCCTCTTCTCTTGGCCTGTCCAATGAAAGAAAGCAGGAGCAGCACAGCTCCAACCTGGCAGCCAACACCTGGCAAAAGTTAGAAGGGTTTAGCAGGATCCTAAATGTGAAAGCTCCTTTTTGCCATCGCTTCTTCTGTGGAGCCACATGCTCTGATTCCCCATCCCCACCATGGTTCTAAAAGCCTCTGGTTCCCTTTGTCTTTCTTTTGTGTCAATACTTTGAGTGAAACCCCACCCTGGTGTCCCCCTTTTCCTCACTGTCCCCCTGAATCTTTCCACCATCTCCAGGGGTTGGTACCACCCACTTTGGGAATCATTGTTATAGTAATTCTCTTTGTTTCTGCACACAAGTTGCTGAACAATTGCATTCAGAGTTCTAATTCAATTTCTGTCACCTTTTATTTTTGCTTCTTGTCTGTCCTTAACTGCTTGAAGAGTTCTTCTGTCATCCATTGAGGCTTTTCTTTCTTTTTGGCTGCAGGTAGTGTCTTTTCCCATTCCTCCCTGACAATCTCCCTGTCTTCACTCCAGAGTTCTTCTGGCTTCTGGTCTGTTAGGCTTAACAGTGAAAATCTATCTTTTTAATATTAAAATCTACAAGGATGTTCTTAAGATTGTATTTTGGCATGATACAAGGATGTTCTTAAGATTGTATTTTGGCATGATGGCTGGTTTAGTGTTCTTCTTTAGCTTCATTCTAATTTTATTTTAATTTTTTATATCAGCAGTTCATGGTCTATACCACAATCTGCTCCTGGTCTTGTTTCTGCAGAGAGAATTTATTTTCTCCATCTTCTGCTTCCATTTATGTAGTCTATCTGATTTCTATATTGGCCATCTGGTGATGTCCATTTATACAGTCATGTCTTTGGTTGCTTGAAGAAAGTATTTGTGATGAACAAACAGCTGGCCTTGCAAAATTCAGTCAGTCATTCTCCTTCATTTCTTGATTCTAGACCAAATTTTCCTACAGTCTTTGATTCTTCTCTGCTTCCTACTTTTGCATTCCAATTTCCTATGATTAACAACAAATCCTGTTTTGGGGTGTGAACAACGTCTTCTTGGATGCCTGCATAGAATGCCAGCCTAGATGTTAGTATAGAATCTTTCAGTTCTTTTCATGCCTCAGTAGTTGGAACATAAACTTGGATTATAATTATACTGCTAGGTTTATTGATATTATTCAGTTAGACTTTGCTTTATGTCCTTTGACCACTTTTGCTATATCTCTCCTCACTTTATCCTCATGATAATAGAATAATAATCTCTACTGCTCACTTTAACCTCACAATAATAACCAAATGAGGCAGGACAAACTGAAGAGAGTGGCTAGCTCAAAGTCATAGGACGTTATCACATGGGGAGTCGCGGGGAGAAAGTGGAAATAAACGGGCACGAGCTGAAGTCTTTAATTTACAGGATTTGTCCCGTTCTGCCTCATCTGATAACTAAATTCGAATTTAAAAGGGGGTTAATTCGAACGAAAAACTGATCTTTTCATTTTTGGGATTTTGGAGGATTTGAAAAGATCAGATTTTTGTTCGAATTAACCCCCTTTTAAATTCAAATTTAGTTATCAGACGAGGTGGAATGGGACAAATCCCGTAAATTAAAGTCTTCCGCTTGTCCCATTTATTTCCACTTTCTCCCCGCAACTCCTCATGTGATAACGTGCATATATTAGTGGCTACCTGAACATGAATCTCACAAGTTACAGTCCACAATCATAGCTCATGATGGCTCTTTTTTAAACATTCTTATTGGTGAAAGCAGCCTCATTAGTTGTTTTATAAAGAACCATTAAGTAGAGAATGACACGGTTGGAAGGCTTTCTATCTTTCTTCAAATATTATTACTCCAAGCAACTGGTTGTGATGTGGAAGCTTCCATGTAGTGCATAGAGATTTCTTTCCTGCATAAGGTTGTTCGTATTTGTCATTGAAGAGATCTGATTAGCAAGTCCACATCTAAACTGATACAGCTTTCTGTAACTTATCAACCAGCAACCTTTTGCCATAGAACAGCTCCATGAAGTCCCCATGGAAACAAATACTGTTTGTGCACTAGCCATTCTCACTGGATTGGTTGATTGATCTTCTTGGCAACTGGGATGTAAACTCCTCAATTCTGGAGCAACTGATAGTGAAAACTAGCTTCATCCATATTTGTGTTCCTCTTTTCAGATTGGCATTGACAGTGGTTACTTTTTAGTTCCACCCGTTGAACCTAAGATTAAGGAAACAGTGATACATTTGATTATATTATCTCCTGCAGATACATTCAAGAGTTGGGTTTTTTTTTAAAAAATAACTCATTCTGTTACCAATTGTATAGTTTAAATAGTAGCCTATTTCCATTACTCATTGCAGTGGTGAAAACAGGTCACTTGTTATGTTACATGTTACATGTTACATGACTTTTTTCTCTTCTATTATTTGGTGTTACTTTTTTAAGAAGAGAAAAAAC